GAGATTGAACCAGGAAGAAATAGAAAATATGAACAGACCAATCACAAGCACTGAAATTGAAACTGTGATTAAAAATCTTCCAACAAACAAAAGCCCAGGACCAGATGGCTTCACAGGCAAATTCTATCAAACATTTAGAGAAGAGCTAACACCTATCCTTCTCAAACTCTTCCAAAATATAGCAGAGGGAGGAACACTCCCAAACTCATTCTACAAGGCCACCATCACCCCGATACCAAAACCAAACAAAGATGTCACAAAAAAAGAAAACTACAGACCAATATCACTGATAAACACAGGTGCACACATCCTCAACAAAATACTAGCAAATAGAATCCAACAGCACACTAAAAGAGTCATACACCATGATCAAGTGGGGTTTATCCCAGGAATGCAAGGATTCTTCAATATACGCAAATCAATCAATGTGATACACCATATTAACAAACTGAAGGAGAAAAAGCATACGATCATCTCAGTAGATGCAGACAAAGCTTTCAACAAAATTCAACACCCATTTATGATAAAAACCCTCCAGAAAGTAGGCATAGAGGGAACTTTCCTCAACATAATAAAGGTCATATATGACAAACGCACAGCCAACATCATTCTCAATGGTGAAAAACTGAAAATATTTCCAGTAAGATAAGGAAGAAGACAAGGTTGACACTCTAATCACTCTTATTCAACATAGTTTTGGAAGTTTTAGCCACAGCAATCAGAGAAGGAAAAGAAATAAAAGGAATCCAAATTGGAAAAAAAGAAGTAAAGCTGTCACTGTTTGCAGATGACATGATACTATACATAGAGAATCCTAAGGATGCTGCCAGAAAACTACTAGAGCTAATCAATGAATTTGGTAAAGTAGCAGGACACAAAATTAATGCATAGAAATCTCTTGCATTCCTATACACTAATGATGAAAAATCTGAAAGTAGAATTAAGAAAATACTCCCATTTACCACTGCAACAAAAAGAATAAAACACTTAGGAATAAACCTACCTAAGGAGACAAAAGACCTATATGCAGGAAATGATAAGACACTGATGAAAGAAATTAGAAATGATAGAAACAAATGGAGACATATACCATGTTCTTGGATTGGAAGAATCAACATTGTGAAAATGACTCTACTACCCAAAGCAATCTACAGATTCAATGCAATCCCTATCAAACTACAACTGGCAGTTTTCACAGAACTAGAACAAAAAATTTCACAATCTGTATGGAAAGATAAAAGACCCCGAATAGCCAAAGCAATCTGAGAAAGAAAAATGGATCTGGAGGAATCAGGCTCCTGGACTTCAGACTATACTACAAAGCTACAGTAATCAAAACAGTATGGTACTGACACAAAAACAGAAATATAGATCAATGGAACAGCATAGAAGGTCCAGAGATAAACCCACTCATGTACAGTCACCTTATCTTTGATAAAGGAGGCAGGAATGTACAGTAGAGAAAGGACAGCCTCTTCAATAAGTGGTGCTGGGAAAACTGGACAGGTACATGTAGAAGTATGAGATTAGAACACTCCCTAACACCATACACAAAAGTAAACTCATAATGGATTAAAGACCTAAATGTAAGGCCAGAAACTATCAAACTCTTAGAGGCAAACATAGGCAGAACACTCTATGACATAAATCACAGCAAGATCCTTTTTGACCCACCCCCTAGAGAAATGGAAATAAAAACAAAAATAAACAAATGGGACCTAATGAAGCTTCAAAGCTTTTGCACAGCAAAGGAAACCATAAACAAGACCAAAAGACAACCTTCAGAATGGGAGAAAATAATTGCAAATGAAGCAACTGACAAAGGATTAGTCTCCAAAATTTACAAGCAGCTCATGCAGCTCAATAACAAATAAACAAACAACCCCATCCAAAAATGGGCAGAAGACCTAAATAGACATTTCTCCAAAGACGATATACAGAGAGCCAACAAACACATGAAAGAATGCTCAACATCATTAATCGTTAGAGAAATGCAAATCAAAACTACAATGCAATATCATCTCACACCAGTCAGAATGGGCATCATTAAAAAATCTACAAACAATAAATGCTGGAGAGAGTGTGGAGAAAATGGGAACCCTCATACATTGTTGGTGGGAATGTAAATTGATACAGCCACTATGCAGACCAGTATGGAGGTTCCTTAAGAAACTTAAAGTAGAACTACCATATGACCCATCAATCTCACTACTGGGCATATACCCTGAGAAAACCATAATTCAAAAAGAGTCAGGTACCACAATGTTCATTGCAGCTCTATTTACAATAGCCTGGACATGGAAGCAACCTAAGTGTCCATCAACAGATGAATGGATAAAGAAGATGTAGCACATATATACAGTGGAATATTACTCAGCCATAAAAAGAAACTTAACTGAATTATTTGTAATGAGGTGGATGGACCTAGAGTCTGTCATACAGAGTGAAGTAAGTCAGAAAGTGAAAAACAAATACCATATGCTAACACATATATATAGAATCTTAAAAAAAAAAAAAAGTGGTCATGAAGAGCCTAGGGGTAAGACAGGAATAAAGACACAGACCTACTAGAGAATGGCCTTGAGGACACGGGGAGCAGAAAGGGTAAGCTGGGACAAAGTGAGAGAGTGGTAATGTATATATAGACATATATACACTATCAAATGTAAAATAGATAGCTAGTGGGAAGCAGTCGCATAGCACAGGGAGATCAGCTCTGTGCTTTATGACCAGCTAGAAAGGTTGGATAGGGAGGGTGGGAGGGAGGGAGACGCAAGAGGGAGGAGATATGGGGATATATGTATATGTATAACTGATTCACTTTGTTATAAAGCAAAAACTAACACACCATTGTAAAGCAATTATACTCCAATAAAAATGTTAAAAAAAAAAAAAGACTTAATTTGTGGCCTTACATATGGTCTCTCCTGGAAAAAGTTCCCATGTACATTTGAGAAGACTATGTGTGCGATTGTAATTGGTAGAATCTTCCATATATGTCTATTAGATATATTTGATTTATTAAGTTTTTAAGTCTTCTGTTTCCCTGCTTATCTTCTTTCTGGTTGCTCTACCCATTATCGGGAGTGGGGTATTGAAATCTCCAACTATTACTGCAGAACAGTTTATTTCTCTGTTCAGTTCTGTTAGCTTTGCCTCAGATACTTTGATGGTCTGTTGTTAGGTAGAGAAATGTTTATAATTTTTATATATCTTCTTTCTGTATTGAAACTTTTCTTAATATATGTCTTCTTTGTCTCATAACTTTTTTTGATTTGAAGTCTATTTTGTCTGATATTAGTATAGTCACCCTGCTCTCTTTTGGTTTCTATTTGCATAGAATTGTTTTTTCTATCCTTTGACTTTTACCTTATTTGTATATTTGGATCTAAAGTGAGTCTCTTGTAGGTAGTACATATTGGATCATATGTTCTTATCTATTTTGCTAATCTTGGTCTTTTAAAGATTTTAATCTGTTTACATTTAAAGTAACTAATAAGACTTCCTTCTGTCATTTTGCTATTTGTTTCCTATATGACTTATAGCTTTTTGTCCCTCATTTCCTGAATTCCTGTCTTCCTTTATGCTTACTTTTAAAAAATATGTATTTATTTATTTTATTTTTGGCTGTGTCGTGTCTTAGTTGCCACACACGGGATCTTTCATTGTGGCATGCAGGCTTCTCTCTAGTTGTGGCACCCAGGCTCTCTAGTTGTGGCTTGTGTGCTTGTAGTTGTGGTGCACAGGCTTAGTTGCCCCATGGTATGTGGGATCTTAGTTCCCCGATCCGGGATGTACCTGCATCCCCTGCATTGGAAGGCATATTCTTCACCACTGGACCACCAGGGAAGCCCCATGTTTAGTTAATTTTTTGTAGTGAATTGTTTAAATTTCTTTCTCATTTCCTTTTGTGTACATTCTATAGCTGTTTTCTTTGTAGTTACAATGGGGATTACATTTAAAACCCTAAATTTATAACACTTTAATTTGAATTTATACTGGTTTAACTTCAATAACATACAAACACTCTTCTTTTACACCTGTCCCAACCCCTCATGGTTATTTATATCACAAAATTACATCCTTATACATTATGTACCCAAAAACATAAACTAATAATTCTTTAAATTCACTAGCCTCTTAAATTATGTAGAGAACAAAATGCGGAGTTACAAACCAAAGTTACAATTATACTCGCTTTTAGACATTCTTTCATGAATGTCTCGTTCAGTATTTAAACCATGGCATCAATCTCTCAGCTGTGGGACTAACCTAAAAGTGAGGAACGGTCAACTGGGTCTAGAAGCCAAGAGGCAGAATCCATGCAAAGTAGGTGAGGAGGTAGGAAAGAAGCCCAGCCCAGAATGTCCTCGCTCTGTGGAAGGGGAGTATGTGAGCACCTCTTCCTCCTCTCTCCCCTTCCTCACAACTGTTTTTTTACACAGACTACGTGGAAGTTGCCCTAGAAGTGTTACAAAAAATATTTCTGATAAAGTTACTGATTCTTTCCAGGGGCATATAGAAAAGAGGGTGCCTCTTTTACAGTCAGTGATTGGGCTGAGCGGAAAAATAGGTTTGTTCTGCTTACTGGCAAACTTAAGGAAAATTGACAGAGGCTACAGTTAATAGACAGTGCTGCAAAATCCATGAGGAGAGGAGGTTGTTTACGCCTTAGCACTGTGAGGTTGATGATGCCAACAGTTGTTCTAGGAGGCATTTCTCTGGTCCCCCTTCTGAACTGCTGGAAGTTGGGCAATTTGGAATTTCAGGAGGGAGGCTTTTTTATTGCCTTTTTTAAAACCTGTGGGAGAGGGTTATCTCAGAAGGAAACTATTTCTTTCTGCCTCCCACTGCCCTCTCAGCCACTAGACTAAGCCATGGATATTGTATAAGCATAAGGCAATTATTAAATCATTCTGTTCCATGTTATTGAAAATTTAATGTGCATATTACAAGGAAAAATACCAACTTTCTAATAATTACACCTACTTCTCTTGCAGAAATAGATGACAAGAGAGTGACCAACACACAAGCAGAAGTAAGTTTTCTTATACTCTGTATAAATATGTGTCCAACCAACTAAAAACACTACCAGTTTGATCTGATGTGATATAAAATATGGTATCAATATAACTGTGCTGTAAAAACTATTTGATTTGCTTTCCCCTACTGAACAAACAGTAAAATTGTGTCATAAAATCTCCACCTCTAGGTTACCCTTGATTCTCCACCTATGAAATACTAACCCCTGGAAAACCTTCTAAAATAAACTACTGATTTTAAAGGCAAGATATGGTATTGATAATTTCAATTTAGTGACTGGTTGTGTATGACCATCACAGGTTGGGACAGCCAATGTTGGAACCCTGGAACAAGAAGGTGGGGGACAGACACCTCTTAAGGGTCCTCTGGTGTGTGGAGCCAAGAGCAGATCCTGAGGCCAGTCTCCACATACACATGTAGGAGTTCAGATTGAAAATATGAACCAGGGACGGGGGGCCTAGGGGAGCTGATAACATAGGATACACAGAATACAAGAAAATGAGCAAACTTGTGCCCAGAAATGGAACAAATATTGAGTAGGACTCATGCAGACTTGATACTCAATTCCCATGGCCACATGAGTAGGCATCTAGCAAAACTCAGTGGAAAATGTAGAAAGAACAAAATACCAGAAAGTATCTCTCAAGACTTTTCTAAAAATTTAATGAGACTGTAAATGTGAAATGCTTTGAAAACTAAACTCTTACATAAATATAATTTTTATTAGTAAGTTTTACCACTGTTACTAAACAAACCAACTTTTCTGTAGAATTAATTTTCTACTTAATCTTTGAATATATATATGGAAATAAACATATAAGAAAACCTGGAAGTGAATGCTTCTTAAAATCAACCAAGTGTGACAGAATACAGCAGAGGTACAACAGAAGGCTCAATCATCCACACATGTATACTAATGTAGAGTTGCCCTGCCTGCATCTGTGCATAATAGACTGGTATCAAAACACTCTATTTTGCAGAAATTTGCTTGTACCATTTGCTTTGATTGATATGGATTTGGTAACTATTTGGTTGAATTTTTTACTTTTTAATAGGTTGATTTTGCATTAGCTAAATACCAACATCTTGATGACTCCTTTGAGGGCAATTAAGCTTTAGTATGTATGAGTAAAGATGCCTCAAGCTCTATTTACAACTTCGTGAAACAGTTTCTAGTTTTCTTCAGACTCTGTACATTATGTTCTTTCTAATATGCATGGAAAGCCTAGAACAATCCTCAAAAAGTATCTTGTAACTATTTATACTTTAACTTTTCAAAGCAAAAATAATTGCTCCAGACACTAAAACTCCTGCCTTTGACACACTGAAATATAAGTAGACACACCATTAAAAAGGAGTATTTGATATAATCTGATCGAGGTGTAGACCACATATATATATAATTTATTATAATAAGTAATGCCTTATACATATATAAATATCTATTTCTATCTAAACTTTAAATATTATTATTGTGGTTCTGACCCTGAAATATGTTCCTCTGTTCCAATTTGTATCATTTTTAGTGCAAAAATTTCTGCCTCAATAAATTAATTCTGATCCAGTGTGCTTAAGAGTGTTAAGCAGCAGTTTTGTTAGGAAAGCGCTTTTGAACACGTAAAAGAATATTACCTCAACACTGTAATTCCAAGTAAATGGAGCTATTAGATTGAACATCTCAATTCCATTGGATTATAGACTGATATTACTTAGCAAGGACTCTCATTAACCCTCCAGAACCACTGACAATCCTATGAACAGATATAATTATACCATGGACATAGCTTTTGGAGTATATTTTGTCCTGGGACTTATGCTTTTCTCTAAAATGGAAAGGATTAGTACTATGTCTTTCTTTCTTTCTTTTTAAAATAAACTAATGTTACTAGGTGTTTATTTCCCTCAAAGGGCTGATGACATTGTACTTTTTATCCAAATATAAGACTTATTACTTTTTTCTCTCTATCCAGTCACAGAATGCATCCCCTAAGCAAAGGAAGCAGAGCGTGTACACACCACCCGCCATGAAAGGTACTGTTCATGTACTGTTTCCGGCTGTTGTGAGCGCTGAGTTCATGGATGGCAGGCAGGCTGTTCTCAGGCGCCTTATACCTGATTACAAGCTAGATCTATCTTACTGAAAGTCACACTACTGACTTTCAGTAACATATGTTATTTGAAACCTAGTTTCATCAAGAGTGAAATAGGTGAAGAAGGGACAACTAGCGATGTCTCAAAATCTCAGTCTGGAACTTCAGATTTTCCAAAATACTGACAAAAGTTTTCTTTTACCCTTCCTCACATGTTTTCCCTGAAGAGATTTTTCTAGAATCCCTAATTACTCTTGCAAGTGTTGGCAGATGATTACCTTTTTTTCCTTGGCTTAAGCAAAGTATGTCTTGAATTTCAGACAGATACAGATACAGTGAAGTGTTGCTTCACTGCCCTGTGTCAGGAGCAGTTCTAAGAAACCCAGTCAAACAGCTATTAGCTGTACATGTAACAGCTGTTGAAATAGCAACTAAGAATGCTAGCTCAGATTCTGGTGTTCTCCCAGAATTTCCACCCCTTCCCCGCCAAATTAGAACTGCTAAAAGAACATCTAAGTGTATCAGAATTTTGACCAACATCAATTCCGGAGAAGGTTTCTTTTATTTCTCACACAACAGTATTCCTGACATGAGGCAGAGTGTGTCCAATCTAGTAGCTCGTGTTCCAGCCTGGCACTTGGGCTGTTGGCCCAGTGACTCATCATGCTGTCGTACAGCTCAGTTTCAACTACAGGAGAGGCCAGCTGAACAGCTTCCTCTGGAGTCTAGAGAGATGTCTAAATTGGGAGTGAAATTTTCCATGCTGTATGCTCTCTAGATTTGGGGCTTCTCTCTGAAAGAGAGGTGGGACATAATGGGACACATTAATAGCTACTTTCCATAAACTTCTGTGCTGTGCAGCTATAAAATACAATGTTTGCTTGTTCATAAGACTGCAGTAAATAATGCAGTCATCAGCATTGTAGTTAATTCCAGGGTAATTATTGAGGCTATCAGGCATCCCTTTCTCAAGATCAGCGTAATCATTTTTGAAGGTATTTTCCCTCTTGTAAGTCATCTTGTACTTTTAAAACACATCAGTTTTGGCATGAATGGGTCCCAAAGAAAGATACATGTTCACTCATTTAATAATTTCCTCTGTTCTATTTTGGGTTAGCTTAACTAAATAAAGACTGTTCTCATGTCCTTAGAGAATAACAGCATTATTTTTAAAGGAAAAATCTTAAAATCAAGGCCCCAAAGGCTCATGGTTTTTATACTTAGCTCTCAAATGTAAGAATGTGGGGTGCTAACGTTTAGGGAAGTTAGTCATATTGTACATTTTTACCCATAATCTTACTACTGTTGAGCCCTCCAAGATGGTCATTCAATGATAATCATTTTTGGTCATGAGTTAAAGGCTTGAGAAAGCACAGTAATTCTTTCATGAGGCTATTCGGGTATAATTACAAGCCACTTAGGTCCTCATTTATTACCTGTAAATACTTAGCAAAGTCGCCTGCTACTGATAAAAGAGTAAAGAGAGCTAAATCCACATATTCTATTCAGTCTACCTGTCCCTTAGAGCTAGAAATGAATATTTTGGGACAAAATTAAGCAATGGTAACATATGGTGCATTGTAAGCACATTAAGAAGCTTCCATCATAAAAAAGATGAATTAGAAAGGAAATGTTATTGAAATGCAAAATCAATAATAACTGCTCTGAAATGTATAATTCTTCAGACTGCAGTGGAACATGCAATTATTGAATGTAAAAAATGTTTGCTAGGAGAGCAAAGTAGCACCAGATATGATTCATAGTTCTGAAAGAAATCACTCTGACCAAATGGCCAACTAGAGCTTCATGAATGACCCAGTGAGTAGCTGATTAGTAAAACAAAACAAAACAAACTAGCTAGACTCCTTCCTTCTCTTGTATCAGGTAGTGAGGAGTTGCTGGATATACAGGCCTATACCCAGGAGAGAGATGCTACATTCAGCCTATGCCATTTCAGTAAATGCCCAGACAGACTAGTCTCCCAGCTCCTACATTCATTTATTTTTCCCTCTTTCAGTTACTATGGTATTTATGGCTCCACCAGCTCTCAGAAAACAGAGACATGTCCAGATCACCTCTTGTGATGAAGGCTTTATGAAGGTGCATGGGTAGGTAGGGGGTAAGAAATAGAGCAAGGAAACCATTTTAACAGGTACACTGTCAGGACTGATAGGCTGATGACCTCCAAATTCGTATCTGCAGCCATAACTTATCTCCTGAACCTCAGACTCCCATTTCTAACTAGCTACCAAATTTCTTCACCTGAATGAATGACATTCATTGAAACTTCTCAAATTTAATATGTCCAAAACCAAACTCATTGGTTCTTTTTTGGGTTTTCCCCATCTCAATAAATCTTATTCAGCTGTTGAGAACAAAAACCTTTGCATAATCCTTGACTGCTCCCCCTTACCCAATCCATCATCTACTCCTGTTGGTGCTAATTTCAAGATGTACCCCTTCTCTATTTTCCGTATCTTCCACTGCTACTACCTTGTGCGACCACCATTGTTTCTTGCCTGGGCTGCTGAAGTAGACTCCTTACTGCTCTCCTGCTTCTGCTCTTGACCCTCTACAATTGAGTCTCCACACACAAACCAGAGTAATTCCTCTAACGCACAAATGTGATCATGTCACCCCCTTGATCAAAATCCTAAAAAACTTCCTGTTGCATTCAGAATAAAATGAAAAATCCAATCATGGCTTACAAGTCCCTGAATGAGCTGCACTGTCCTTTCTCCTTGATCTTACCTCCTTTCACACTGCCCCTTGTTCATCGGGCTTCAATGTCATGGACTTTTTCAGTTTATAAACATCTCAAACACACTTCTGTATCAGAGCATTTGTACTTTCCACTTTCTCTGCTTGAGAAGCTCTTTACCCAGTGACCTCACAGGTGACTCAGTTCCCTCCTCAGAAAGGTCTTCATTTCCTGATAACTGCCCATCCTACCATCACTATCCATGTCCTCATAACACTGCCTTAATTTTTTCCATGGCACTCATCATTATGTACCTAGAATGAGGTGTCCATGACAACAGTTTTGTTCATATGATATTCCCAGCACTTAGTACAGTTTCTGGCACATAATAGGTGCTCAATAAAAACTTGTTGAATAAATGAACTGTAATGAACTGGGGAATCCAGCTACATTGTCATCTGCTGGGAAGAGGATGTCCCTTAAACCTTGTTCTACTAATTGTCATACTTGTGACTCGGCTTCTGTTTCTCTTTGCTTCTCTCTCTGCTTGATCCCCCTTTAACTCTTATGTTCTTACTTATCCGTATGCTTCTGTTTTTCTTTTTCCCACTCCCTTCCCCTCTAGTCAAAGAGAAAATCTGATTTGGAAAATTAGTTACCATCCAGAATGATGCATCAATTTGGCTTGATTCTTAAGAAAGGTTATCTCATGGACCACTGGAACCATTAGGTGGTTGCCTCTGACTAGAGCCTGGTTCCTCCAACAGTTAGTTTCTGGCCAAGATGGCAGCATCGTGGGAAACAAACTTGGCAATGTAAATAGAAGAATCTGGAGATGGCTCTCTTCCTTCAGAGATGTTTCATGACTTGATCAGAACATTTACTCTTAGAAAGTAACAGTAGAATTAGTTCTTGGTCTTGCCATCTTTCTAGTCATAACATTATAGTCATTCAAAGTTGTCAAGTTTAAAGATTAACTAGTACAACTACCTAGTGATTCATCAAACATCACTTCCATTTTTTCCACTGCATCTAACCTCAGGGTATTAGACTGGCTATGTTCTCTTGAAGGTTCTAATATATTAGGCTTGGGCTGTAGCCAAATAATCAAAAGTTCCAGGTGATTCTGCTGTAGCAAGTCTAAAAACTGACCAGACTCCGATATCCAATCATCTATCTAACATGTCTTTCTTATGTCATAGGTTGAATAAATGAAATGAAATCTCATGGAAATCAAAGATCATGAGATCAAAATTAGCATGTTCAAAACTGACCTTCTGATCTCCACAGCAAATCAATTTGTCCTTCATGTTCCCCTTCTCAGAAAGGTGCTTATTCCTGAGTTCTGGGGGTCTCCAAGGACTCTCTCTCTCTCTCCTTCACTCTCTTCATTAGTAGAGCACCAGGTCTTGTGGATTGTGCCCCATTAGCTCCTCTCCCACCTTCCCCTCTTCTATCTCCAATGTCACCATCACAATTCAAGTCACATTCATTTCTTTGCCAGGATATAAAAGGTTACTCTCCATTCAGTCTCTTTCCTCTACTTCCCATCTGTTTTCTATACTGTACCCAAAGTGAACTTAAAAACCGGATGTGATTATGCCACTTCCTTGGTTAAAACTCTTCAATAGCTCCTCACTGCCCTTAGACGAAATTCCTATTCCAGAGCAAAGTTTAGAAAGCATACTGCCCTGTGGCTCCAATATGCCTCTCCTCTCCTTACCCACTAGGTCCCAGCCACAGTGGCATTCTGCCAGCTTCTAAATGCACCAAGCTCTTTCCTGAAGAGTCTGCATACATTCTTCATCTAGAATATTCTCCCTTGCCTCCTTCTTGTCCTCATTCTTTATTTGCTTAGTTCCTACTTATCATTCAAGCCCTGTCCTTAAAGGTCAGATCCTGAAAGGAGCTTTCCCTAACCCTCCATTCTAAATTATGTGTAGCTATGAACTCTCTATTAATAGTTACACATTCTCTATAGTTCTTTCATTGCAAGTAATCACAATATTCAATTATATATTAAGTGTCTGTCTCTCCAACTACACCAGAAGTGATCTACATGGCAGCAGTGACAGTGCCTATTTTGTTTATTACCTTATCTGCAGGGCTTAACACAATGCTTGAGACATAAGCAGTGCTTATACATATACTTTTAAATAATTTTTTTAAATGTACCCAACAGTACTGATGGTGAATGAATCATTTCCTTAGGGTGTTTACCTTCTCTCTGGTCTATTAGA